GCTGCGTATTCATAATATTTATAAGTGAGGCCACAGGCTCCGTTAAGAAAAGCAACTCACGTCAGTAGAGCCAATGTGATTAAAAGGGACATTTAAACTCTCATTACGCAAGACGGACGTTCATCTGAGGATCCTAGAGTTTGGTGTCAGGCTCAGCAACCAAGTAAGATGGGATAAAATGTCTTGCTGTCCAGGAGGAAAGAGAAACTTTTGAGGCTTTGGATCTGTCTATGGGATATTAGAGTTTTTCCCCTACCTAGTAGACTTTGAATTTCAGAACTAGAACTTGCCTTTTAGATCACCCCTCTTATTTTATAAGTGAGCCAAAAAGAAAAAAAAAAAAAAAAAAAAAAAGGTTCCAAATCCCTTGCTAACCTACCCGGGTCACCAGACTTTCCAGCTGTAGACTTGATTACCAGGCTTCTTGACTCTCACCCTATGCTACTTCTAGCCAACTATCCTGGAGGAATGAATGACAGCCAGTGTCTCTCTTTTATTTTTTAAATTTAACTGCATTCGTACCTGTTTGTCAGGCATCCTGAATGCACTCGTTGTGGGTACTAGGTACACACACATGACAGTAAGGAGAAGAGTTCCTTTTTGACCTTGCTATTGGTGATTAGGGAAAACTATTGTGAAAATAGAACAGGATGGGAATATGCTGTAGACAAAGAATAAACTATAAATGAAATGTATTATCTTCAAGAGAGTGCCTTTCTCTACCAAATGCCCCCCAGGGGTACTGTACCCCTGAACTCCTCACTAAGTCACACTCCCTCAAGTTAGGAGAGTAGGGTCTCATTCTCAAAACATCCTAAGACTGATGATGTCAAGCGAGGAGGTGCCTATGTGATGAGAGTGATTGCTCAGGCGTTGGGCAGCTACCATTGCCACCCTGAGTATGTGTCAGGAGGAGGATGCTCGCCCAATGCAGACTGACCACATTTAACTAAAATCAGAGCAGAGCAATCATAACATACAAGAAAGAGGTGTCTCCCAGTCCTTCCGCTAGCTCTTTTCCCCATGGCATTTTAAGAAACAGAACAACTCAGTGGGCTTCAAACCAAGTTCCAGGAGGCCCTGAAACACTAGCGGAGAAGACTGAGGGAGAAGGGAGGAGATACTGGGAGGGAGGAGATACTGCGTGACTTGGGCATCAGGAGGTGGTCTGCTTCCATCCGCCTTGTACATTGGAGCTCTGGGTAGTTTTGACCAAGAGGGGAAAAAGGGACAACTAAGAAAAAACATTTTTTGCCAGTTACCTAATGCAGTTCACTCGTTGAGTTACGGAATGCAAAGCTCTTACCCAAAAGGACCCACTGAGCCAAGAACCATATGTCCCCCTCTCTTGGCTGGTCAGGCTTCCCTTTCCTGGTATCCATCCTGCTGACCACTGTACACCTGTGTTTGACCATGCCCTTACCTAGCCCCACATCCAGCCAATCACTACGGGTTCCTGGCATGGCCTTCAGTTCAGCCAATCCAGAGGATCTGATTGTTCTTCACACAGCTCTAGCTGTTGTGAAGTAAGCACTGTAACTCTGATTATTTCAAAGTCCTCAGACAGGCTGGAGTTTCACAAATATTGTCAATTTCGGGCCAGGCTGAGTTTCTTTAAAACAACTCCAATTAAATTTTCCTAGAAGGCAGACCAGATACAAGAGCTCTTCTTTTACTTTTTCTTAATAATTCCTAAAGCTCAAGTATTACCAAGGAACCAGCCATCTATCTTAAAGTGGGTGAGTTTCTAGGTGAATACACGCAAAGTCCCTTTCCCTTTCTAGGCCCAAAGGCCGCATCAGAGGTTGGTTAGGACACCTGGGCGCAGGGCTGACTTAAAGATTTCAACATAATTTCATATTTCATAGTTCAAATAAAAACTAAATAGTCATTACAAGGAAATCAAAACATTCTGACTTTAGAACTCAGTGTCCTCTTTCTTCCAAGTTATACCTAGAGGTGTTCCAAGGGGCCCTGGCACCTTTGGGCCTCCACGTAACCAATGTCCCCTTCGTGAACTGGTTCATCGCTGGGTGAAGAAGGAAAGAGCTCTGGACATTGGAGGCTGTGTTTATGCATTTTGCTGCTTCTCTTTGGGAACTGAATTTGCCCCAGGTGAAAGGTATTCACAAAACCGTTGGAGAATGAGGTCCCTTGTGAACTCACCAAACAGGCTCAGTAGCTCCACTTAACAGGGTCAATTTCCTCTCTATAAGAAGATTGGCCTTAAGGGGTTTGCCCTTGAGTTCAACTCTCCTTTGGGTTGGCTAGACTCCCCTGAAATGGACACAAAGCATTCAATGAGGCTCGGTTTGAAACAAAATAAAGGCCTCCAACGCACTGGATGGTGCAGCTCTTGAGAAATTTTAGCACATTTCTGTTGGAGTGTGTTTTGACCTAGAAGTGAAGGACCCCCAACACTGCACATGAAATATCAGTTATCAAGGAGGAAATGTTGAAGGATCGAATGTGTTTTCTTTACAGTTTTTACCAATGCCTTTCAAGAATTCTGTTCTCCCCAAGAAAAATAGGGATAAAAATTCTAATATTTAGCTTCGTGGATATGTGTCTGTGCAAATGATGTGTGATATTTCGTGAGAGAGTGCGAATCAGTGTGAATTACTGATCTGTATATGTAATTGATGTATGTTCAACATCTATGTTTGTGTGTGTTTCTGAGTGTGAATCCAATCCAAACAAGAATGTGGGTTTATAAATGTTTGGGTATTGAAAAAGTTAACCACACACAACCAAAGCAGATGTTTTAAAGGGTTTGCAAATATTTCAATGTGCCCTGATTTTCTTCAGATAAAGAACAAGAAAAAGAGAAACAGCCCTCTCTGATTTCCTTTGGTTAAGTAAATTTTTAGCAACAGAAAGTGTCACCTATCACTGATGGTATGGATATACTGTGCTGTTTAATTTTTTGGTATAAATGACAGGCGATTCTTCCCTCTGAGGAAGTTTCCTGTCTTCATTGCTGATCCATGCCTGGTCTAATTACTAAAAGCTTAAGCCTGGGGTTCAGGGAATTGAGAGAGACAAATTCTTCTTTCAAGAGTAATCTGAGAGAGAAGCAGGGAAGGGGTGGGGAAAAGAAGGAGAAAGTGTGGATGATGTGGAAACCATAAGGATTCCTAACCAGGAGCTCAGCTCAAATTTCGTCTGATGAGTTCCCAGGCAAAAAGCATGGTTTGGGCTGGGGCTGTGGCAGGCATGCAGTTTTCTGAAAAACAGCTGGACCCAGTAGCAAATTCCTTCTTTTGCTAGTTTTGCTAAGTGCCCATATTTCTGGTTCCCGGAGGGCCCCTCCCAGCCTCCTTTCACATGGGGCCAATGGTCCACCATGTGACCAGCTTGGAGAAGCTGGGTATCCAATGTGGGTGGGTTCTATGAGCGCTGGGAAGGGCTGAAAGCTTTGGCTGTGCCTGGTGGGAGGCATGGGCCACTGTCCTGGCCTGGGGAAGGTGCAGGTCATTAGGTGTGGTGTCTGTTAGCCTGAGGAAATGGCTTGCTTTTGTTCTCCACCCAGTGAGAAATGGACCTGCATCTGAATCCATTAGTTTCTGGGCAGCTCAATACAGCACAGTTAGAGGTCTTGGAGGCTCCAGGCCGGAAAGGCTACTTGTGTGGATTTGTGTCCTGGTCACCGTGTTGTGCAGGGAGCCCATCATTTATGCATTTAAAGCCTGTCAGGCGGGAAATCTGAGGGGTCTGGAAGACGGTAATGCCAACAGACGCAGGGAATGGAAAAGTGCACCTGTAGAGTTAAAAATGCATGACCCGTTCCCTCAAAGAGGGAACACGGGAGAGAGACCCCGTCCTGGAGGGCAGCTGCTGAGCAGCCATACATAATTCAGGGGCCCATGCTGCTCCATGCAGATGGCGATATTAAATCGTGATTGATGCTAAGAGACGCGCTCAGTTCAGGAAGGCCTCCGAGAGGCTTCTGGATATTTCCATGTCTCTTGTGCCTCTCTGTTCTAACTGTGGTATTAAGCAAAAGCCCCCACTTCCCAGGAACCCCTGCTAGGGATCGCAGAACTTCACTCTCAAATAGATGAGATTTTTCAAATGTCATCGCCCACCTTTTCTGCCTTTGAAGGTCGCCCCTTCCCTTCTGGCCCACAGGAGGCTGTTTACCTCCAGCCAGGCTCTGCAGGGAGGGGGGCCGGCTCCTGCCCGCAACCTCCTTCTCTGTAGCTGATGTGGCTGCACAAAGCAGCAGCACACTCTGGTGGCGGTGACAGGTGGGAGAGACACCGGCGTCCCCTCCCCACAAAGCACCTTTGTGAGATTATGGGCTTGGATCAGGTGGCTTCTCCCATGCAGATTTTTCCACTGGGTGTATAATGAAATAACAGATCAAATTTGAGGTATACATGGAATTAAATGTTTGCGGATTTTGCTTTTTTCTTTCTTAAAAAGAGAGGGAGAGGGGAGAAAAAAAAGACTGAAATCACCCCCCAGAGTCTATCCTGACCCGATGCTGAAAGCGCTGCCTTGCACCATGTGTAATTGTTACCAGGCTCGTGTATGGGTCACACCACAAAACCACGATTGTCAGTTCCTGGAGCCTTGACCGCCGGCTTCCTGGGCCAGGCCGGGTTGGGAGACAGTGAAAAGAAAGGAGGATTGATGAGATGAAGATAGAGATGGGGGGTTGAAGGAGAGGAAGACGGGCTGAGAAGGAGAGGTAGGAAGAGGCGGGAGGCAGGTGGAGTGTACAGCGTTCTCATCTCTATAATCTCAGACCATGTGATTGGGGATGTTTATGACTGTTTTCTGGAATATTCGCATGGGGGGCTGCTGGTAGGGGGAGAGATGAACTGAAATAATCTCTTCCACTGAATGAGTAAGTAGGTTAGTCTCCCAGCCTGCCATGGACGAGCCGTAAAATAGTTCTCATCAGCCACTGAGCAGGAAAAGGGAAGGGGGGCAGCGTGGAGGAGAGGCTGTGACATATGTGAAACCCTTTGGGTCCCTGCTTTCTCTTCCAGACCCGCCCTGTGGAGGTCGCCTGAATTCCAAAGATGCCGGCTATATCACCTCTCCGGGGTACCCCCAGGACTACCCCTCCCATCAGAACTGTGAGTGGATTGTTTACGCCCCTGAGCCCAACCAGAAGATTGTCCTCAACTTCAACCCTCACTTTGAAATCGAGAAGCACGACTGCAAGTAAGCACCTATGGGTTACGCTGGGTTGCACAACTGTGCCACCCGAGGGGTCTTGCGTGCCCCCAGCCCACTGCCTGCGCCTCTGTCCCTGTCACCCAGCAGCCCCGAGAGGAGAGCTCCAGACAGTATCCTCCTTCAGGGAGACAAGGGCGCACTGATCCCTCAGAAGGGAGGACAGAACCTATGGAGTCAGGTGTGAAGACTGGCACCAGCCTCCAGAGGTGGGGTGGGGCGGGCTTTGAACCCCACATCCCTCTGATGCTGGGATTCACCCTCCTCTTGGAGATGGCCCATTTCCACTGCTGCTCCATGGAGGAACGCACTGCATCCTCAGCAAAGCAGGAGCTGATCTCCCAGTGAAGCCTGCTCTGCCTCCTCTGTGGAGGGCTAGGAAGCACCAGCCTTGCCTTGTCATAGAGAGAGAGCTCAAGACTCTGACTCTGCCAGGGTAGGTCTGGGACTTACCGATTCTCGATATCTGTGCTGCGCAGGTGAGAGTCCCAATCTGGTGTTATGGATTTATTTAACACTTTTCTAATGGCTCCACAAAGATTAATCCATTCAGTCTCACAATGAAACGGGCTGGGAAGGTGGTGCCCCCCATAATTTCTTTTCCATTGTGCAAATGAGAACACGGCAGCACAGAGGGTAAGTCAGTTGCCCAAGATGACTCGGCTGTCTTATGACATGACATCAGTCCTGCCACCTGGGAAACGTGTGGCATCAGAGATGCTAAGTGGGCTTTAGACACTTGTGAGTGCTTCAGAAAGCCATGTAAATACCGAGGTCTCTCCCCCGACAGCAGGCAGCACTGTAATGCCAAGAGTGCGGCTGTGTGCTTGCGGTCTCCTGAGCTCTCTCTTAAATTCTGTCCTCACTGTGTGAAAGCGGAAGGCAGCCAGGCATGGTGCTGCCTGCCCCAAGCACAATGCTAAATGTTCAGGGCCCGGGCTGGGCCCTAAGCACCCAAGGCACTGTGGGGCTTAGAAAATGAATGAAGGGGCTGGCTGGTGGGACAGGTACAGAGGAGCAGGCCAGAGTCCTGTCCTTCACTCAGAGCAGGCGTGGGCCCCAGCCAGCGCTTCCTCCCGCAGGAAACAAGGCCCCTCTTTAACTAGCACTCAGCTGGCCGCGAGGCTCCGTGAATCAATGCCATTATTGCCCTCGGAGGACTCCTTCGCACCTCCACAATGGCCTGCTCCTAACGAGACAGAGCCTTTGCTGAAGCCCAGAAGGCTTCCTGACGGATGCCACATGGAACCAAGAGTCATTAGATGGAGTTTGTAATCCCCGGGCCACTCCTGACTAAGCGGGTGACACTGCTTCCTCTTTGTCTCCGTGCCGCCCACATCCTGGACACACTGACTCAGCACACCAAGTCTTCCACTTCCCTGGCAGTGAACTGTTCTGAGAATTTGGGTTAGGGGAGCTCTTCTGCAGCAGGCGTGCGGGGCCCTGGTGACTCTGGCCGGGCGGTGGCAGGTTGGCACCCACTGACGTGTGCCGGGCAGAGGACTTGGGGCTGAGCTCTGAGAAATTCATCTAAGCACCTCTCTCCACCAAGGGCCAAATTCTCTTCTGCTGACACCAGCAGATCTTGCAGGGAAATTGCTAAGAGGCTGTTTTCCGAGTGCCTCGTGGCAGAGGGAAAAGGTGCAGGTTTTGGAAGGGAAAGCTGGAGTGTTAGTGAGGGAGGGAGGCTGCAGACCCGCCAGCAAGCAGGAAAAGGTGAGAGAATCATGCCCTCGCCCCACGCCGCGCTGCTGCAGCCCCTTCCCTGCCTGTGCCAACCTTGTCCCTGGCTGTGGCTGCTGCTGAGGAAGCAGGCTTCTCCAGGCTAGGCCCCGCTGGCCCTCCTCACTGAGGAGTTTCCTGTTTTCCTCCCTACTCCCCACCCCCATGCTGGGGCTTCTACCTGAAAGGTCAGGAAGGTCAGGAAAACATCTCTCTGGAGTCTATTCCCCCAGGCCAGGTTGTCAGAAAGCCTCCCGGCGGTTAAACTTCATCTACCGGACCTTGTGTTCAGGTCTCTGCTCCACCCCATTTTCATTAATTTTTACTTTCAGAAAGCCACGCCTGGGTCTCGCAGCTTCTGGCTCTTTGAGATAGTTTGAACTTTTCCCTGCTCATCAGCACTGAGAACACAGGAGAGGTCTTTCCCTCTCCTCCCCCCACAAGGAAAGAATCACTTCATCTAATTCAAGTCCTGGAGCTCCTGAGTGGGCTTTACTCCTCCTCCCTCCTTCTCTTCATGTTGGTTCCAAGGCAGCTCCTCATTCGCAAAGCCCTGCTGCGGGGAATCAGCTCCACCTGCGCTTTGGCTGTCTAGGTCACAAGGTGACACTTCCCAAAAGAAACTGCCCCCGCCCCCGGCCTTCTCAGGGTAGCGTGCTGTGATGACACCCTGGCAAAAAGGGGAAGTGAGCCAGAGAGCCAGGAAAGGAAGAGTCACCCAGCTCTGCCCTTCTGTTTTTCTCTTCCTTTTTCTCTGTGCAGGATTCATTGCAAAAATATCCCCTGATGTGGGAATGCCCCACCATATGAAAGGATTACCCTGGTCTGTGGCTATAGCCGTCTGTACCGTGAAATCTACATCCCAAAGGTCAAGGCGGAGGCTGAATAAACCCCAGACAGACCTTTCCCCCAACCGCCATTTGTGCACCTTGTTCCACTGAAGCCTGCTGTCTGCTTAGAAAATTTCACCCACGAGTCCCCCAGCCTCACCTGAATCAGTGTGATCAAGGCCAAATCCCCAGTGAACGCCTGTGGGCCCTGCCTGTGTCCCTCAGGCCTCAGCACCCACAGGCTGCCCCTACAGGCAGAAGCCAGAGGCCTTGGTGGCAGTGCTAGGGTCCTGCACTCAGGGAGAAGGGCAGGCGTTGGGGCTCTGTGGGCAAACAGAAAGAAGCCGCTTGGTCCCCAAGGAGCAGAGGAGGCCAGGAGGCTGCTGCTCTGGCAGACAGAGGCCTTTCCCTTGAGTCATCAGCCGGCAGGCTGGGTGTTATGATTTTAGAAACACACATACGAAGCTGAGCATTTTTTCCATTGCTAAAATTTGGAATATCTGTATTTTCTAAAACATTCATCAGTGTGTCATCCACAGCTTGTCCATGAGTCCTCAGAGAGGCATGGCACCCTCTCAACCCAGTAAAACCCACGTCCCGAGGCTGGGCCCTCGGAAGAAATGGCCATTTCCAAGTGGGTATCCTGGGAAACATTTTCCAGAAAGTGAGAAAACCACTAGGAAGGCCTGAAAGAGTTCTTAGACTAAAGACCTCACAGGAAGTCTACACCACTGTGGCCGGACGTGTTACATGCAGTGGGAAAGGATTTTATGCTCACCGAAGTGAAATTTGCAGACATTAAAAAAGACCCCTTTAAAGAGCAAAAGTGCTTCTCTAAAAGGTAATGGATCACATCTTAGGTCCCAGGCTGCCTTGGTGTGTCTTTGTAAATAAAATGACGCTTGATTCTGGCTTCTGATTCGCTAAACGTTACTTTTTGTGACACTGGCACAGTATCGTACTTGGATCCATCGAATTTAGATTTGAATTTCTATTGTCTTCTTAAACTTTCTAGGCCTCAGTCTTCCCTTCTGTAAAATCATAACTACTGTGCCAGTTTTCTGTGCCTTTTTCATGTAGATGCACAACAAATTAGCAACTCATTCTTTGTCCTGGGAAACTTTGGGGCTGTTTCCTCTCGGGGCTCTTCTTGTCCCTTTTGCTATCAGTGGCCTGCCTCCTAGTCTCTTGCCTCTGACTTGTTTTACCTTGTTGTTTTAAAAAGAGTACTTTTACTTTACAACTTGGCTTCAGTTTTGTCTGGCTATCTCTTAGGAAGACTGGATTCTGCAGTTTCAGCTCTGCCCTAAACCAGTGTAATACCAAGGCCACTACTTCTAGGTGGGTCTAGTGAAGCTTATAGCAAATCAAGAACTGCCGGGCGTGCTGGTGCACACTTGTAATCCCAGCATTCGGGAGACTGAGGCAGGAGGATTGCTGCAAGTTGAAGGCCAGCCTGGGCTACAAAGTGAATTCAAGGCAGCTTGAATTGCATAGTGAAGCCCTGTCACAGAAAGATACACACATACACAAAACCATAAACAGCAGAGCAAGAACTGACAAGTGACCCCAAATGACCAAGCAGGACAATGGTGCATGGTCTTAGTTCAGATGCTTAAAATCTTTTTCTTTGGTTGGTTCTGCGTATTCCTACAGTCTGGATTTTTCAGGTTTTGGACATTTGGCCCCTGGCTGGGGCCCTGGATAACCAGACCGCGTGCGCCAAGTCTGCACCCTATGTACTTCTGCAATCTTCCACCCTCACAAGGCGTCCTGGGTGCCCAGGGCTCGGGCCCCCTTCTCCTTGCCCTGTTGCCCTCCGGTAGCCTGCACCCCTCTTCTTTCTCTCTGCCCCTCGCTTCCTCCAGTTCTCTACCGGGATCTCCTACTTTGCCCTCCCAGAGCAGGCATGTCCCCATGACCTGCTCACCTTTGTGTGTGGTCATCTTGTGTCCTGAGCACTTTAAGGGTGTGGATCGCATGTTTTGCTTCTAAAGCCTTGCAACACCTAGCCCTGGAGGGTGTAAGCCGGTGCTGGCAGGTGATTGGTTTAGTGATCTTTTTACGATGGAGACCCCAGGCGTGGGTGATGTGACGTGACCTTCCCTGTTCATCCCTCTGAGGCCACATAGTCATAAGGAAGAGCCAGGCTGTGGGTTCAGCCATTACCCTGTGACTTGGGTATCTTTCCAACAGCCGGTTGGTTATTTATTCGTTCATTCCTCAGAAGGCAGTTACTAAAACCCTACTGTGTGCCATGGGAAATAATAGCGCTCAGAGTTTGGGAGGAGAAAGTAAGGTAAGAAGCAGTGGTTACTGAAGATAAAGCTGTCCTTATCCGGAACGTCATCTGTGAGCATGGCGCCTGGCCAAGCCCTTCACAATAGCTCTCTCCTTTGATCTTCATGACAAAACCTGTGACCTGTGATTTCGGCT